TTTTTTTTCACAATATTTGACTGATTAACCCGTAGTCGCCCAACCTTAAGAAACAGTGGAGTGTATTTCATCCTGAATACCATTAATAGCCATTTCCAGGACTTGCAGATCAGACGGTTCAAGAAGAATTCGCCCACTTTTCGATCGTAATTCATTTTGCAATGGGTCAGTTTGATCCGCAACCTAACAGGAGGGTTCATGTGGTGGTTTTGCTGACCGGGCCAAAGGTGTTGCTGTCCAGACTGTGCCCATGGTGGTCGCCCTCGATCCACAAGTGACCGTCAGGAATGCGCACGTGTCGCTTCTTGTAGCTCAGAGTCCTGCCCCAAAAATTTGCCCCGTCATGAGGATCACATGGCTTAGCATCCAAGAGTACAAAGGAAGTGTGGTTTCCATGGCGACTACCTGATGAAGTCTCCCTCCAAGCCGATGACGCGCTTGATGATCTTCTGCTCAGGATTCCTGGGAGACCTGTGAAGACACACGGCAAGCAAGGTTCAACACGAGCCACAGAACGGACTGGTCGCCAGAAAAAGGCTAACAGGCGTTCCCTCTCACATTTACTTTAACGAAAGTCTTTCGTCAGCGAACACGCCATCGTCACATTTGGAGTGGACTCACATGATGGACACGATGTCTCCTCTCTGGACGTTGTACTTCCTGACACTCCAGCGGTTCAGCAGAACCACGTCGCACTCGGATGCTCCTTCCGGGTTCAGGAACGGCTGGAACAAAAACGCATGCGCATGCATTCATTTCCTGTTTTTGTCATGTGGCTGCGAATTATTCCGGGGCTCACCTGCATGGACACACCCTCCACCCTGGCCACGTACGCCAAGCGGTCTAGGACGGTAACGGTGACGGGCACGGCCACAAAAAAGCCACTCACAAAGGCGCGGAGGTAGCGTCGCCCCCGTGTGGCCCCCTGAGCCATGCTCACCGGGGCAGGAGGCAGACGGCAAGCTGGAAAAGACATCACAGAGCATGTATGTTACAAGCACCACCTCAAGGTGATGCATAAAAAAAAAA